ATACTTTTCATATTTGTTGGATATTTCAAAACATGTTTAAAATGTTTGGCTGTCAACCTCACTTATGTTGAAAATGGATAATGTACATTTATTCAAAAGGTATGGGCCCACTATTGTTTTATTTTAGTTTAAAATTCCTAAGACTACAGTAATATCTCTCTCTCTCTCTATATATATATATATATCATATACAGTGTAAAGACATAAATGTACATCTGAATTATGTATTAAAACTTGGACATTCTGTCTCTAAAAATGTCAATTCATTGAGCAAAGGGAACAGCAAACACATTACTTTTTTGGCATTGGAAATATACCAAAGATCTTGAATTTCCAATGTGTTTGTTATCAGCTTCTGAGCTAATTCGTTACTGACATACTGTAAATGGAAAGACTGATCAATAGTACTTTATGTGGTTACAGTTTAATTATTCATTAAAATTAGACCAAATATCATATTTCAAAATCGCCCAAATGGGGGCTTTCATGTCCCTGGCAGGAGCTGGAGCAAAGGACAGGAGCTCACCTGCCCCACAGCAGCACTTGAGTCTTGAACATGGGCCTGCTGTTTGTCAAGCAGCATCCTAACTATGTGAGCCACCATGTTCCTTATATTTCAAAATAATTTTTATTTAAAAGGCACAGTAGAGTCCTACAGATATTTAAACAATTAAAAATTAACTTGCTAGTAGACAGCAAGTTGTATATATGAAGCAACTAATCAATAGTCAGACATTACGAGAGCAATATAAATATCCCAGGCAAGTTTAAGGAACAACATGTAACTAAACATGCTCAGCTTTCCAATACATACATGCTGATGGAGGGAAATCACCATTCCTTTGACTACAATCCACAAAACTAACAGATGGCTCTGTCCTTTCTAGCTCTCTTCTCTCTCTCACAAGTTCAGTTGTTAATGATCCAAGTACCATAGATGAAGATCTGGGCACATCACTGTACCTCCATTGGGAATCTAAAGACAAGTTAAAACTATTTTTATTTTCCAGCCTCGTTATTTGCTTTAGAAATTCTACATTTAAGGCAAATCCACTTCCTATTAGGTACTGCTATCTGCAGAAACTTCAAAACCATACCCTTTCAATGGCTGTTCCTCTTCTCTGAAATAGCTTGACGTGGACATCAGAAAGGGTCTATCCTTCATGGTTTTTAGAAAATCAATTAAAATATAGTTTGCCATCAGGCCACAAGTAACAAGAATGTCATTATTACTCTGATGAGGAATGGTGTTTTAATTTTGATTGAATATGGCACCCTTGTTTTTTACACCTTCTATTTATTTTCCCTTTGGAGAATGGAGTGGCAGTTTGGAGTGCTAATAAGCCTTATTATACATTTTTTTACTATTTAACATACAACTTACCTGAAACTGTGCTTAAACCACTACTTCTCATACTAGAGGTAGATGTATAAGAAAGTTTAGGTCTTTTTGAATCAATATCTTGTTGTTGGCTATGCAGTCTTGAAGAATATGCTCCCTGAGTTCTTTCAGATTCACTCAACCAAGATGGTGCAGGAAGTGATGATGATGATGATGATGTAACCTACCAATTGGGGTTTGAGAAGGTTATTAATATACTGATAAATGACTTGTTCTTTAATAGTAAACAAGAAGAAGATTCAACCAAAACTATTATGCTGAAAAGGCTTGGATAAAACAACCAAGAGAACCAGTAAATGAGAACAATTTTAAAAGAATAGTCTAATAAGCTATTATTCAAACATTACGATAAATGTATTAAAAATAACAAATTGCATTACACTAGAGATAATATACCAATGCATTGTAGTCCTGGAAACAAGGTGAAAATTGTTCTTTTTGGAACAGTTCTGTCAAAACAGTTTAGCATTATAAACTCTAATTATGGTATTTTCTTAGTATTTGGAAAACCTGTCTGAAATGTAAATCAATGTTTGGTTTCATATGAATATTTGCAAGCTCTCTTTTTACTCAGATTTCATGCAAAACTCATTTAAATATGTACAATCCTTTAAAGTTGTTATCCCACTATTTATTTTCATATTACACAAGAATTTATCTTCCACACTCAGGCAGCTGCTCAATTAACTGAATTGCACGTTAGGGCAGTCTTGAAAATAGTTGAGAAACTTAGCATAAATTGTATAGCAGTTTCTCAGTTGGAACTGCATGTGAAATGTATCAATACCTGCGTTTTTTTAAAATTTGAACTGGCTGCCAATTCTATTTCAGACTAAATCTATCCTGACCTTCAAAATTCCAACAGTGTAATCCTAGTCATTTTATCTAATTCAGAAATAATTCCCACAATCTTACAGAAGCGGATTCCAACACAAAAATGTAATCTGCATAAGTTTATCCCAAAATCTTTGTCCATATATTGCCCTACCCAAACTCCATTAAAATAATGTATGGGATTAAATAAAGATACCAATACCGGAGACAATATTAATTCCAATAAAGCAGAGGAATTTTAGTGGTGCATTTACTTTTCTGGGCTTTAAAATTATTGGTTTAGGATATTTTGCCATGAGTGTTTTCAATGTATGATTTTATGTTTACTATATCTTTTTATTTTTACAAGCAATAGTAAAGCAAATTACAGAGTTTAGCATTGATTATTTTTCATAATAATGTTACTGTCTGATTAAAAAATAAGCACAGAATCAATTGGAAGAACAAATTTATGCAGTATATTTTTTTTAATTGAAACAGTATTCAACTACATATAATTATGATTTGGAAGTACCTATTACTTTAAAAGAAACTTTTAAGTTTAAAATAATAATGTTATTTACAACTTGCATTCGTACTCTGTGATGGAATTTAGATCTATATCAGTAACTGTCTGAACATCTAAAAAACTAAAACTAATTTATTTACATTTTCTTTAATTTACAAAATTTGGAGACTCTGACTCCAATGCAACTCTGCATAGTCTATATGGAGAATAAAAAACAGTAAGAGAGCCAATACACAAAAAATATAATCAACAAGGTTCCATAAATATCTTACAGTACACTTAAAGGCCAGACAGAACAGTTAGCTTTTCAAAGATTTCTGCAAGATCATTAAGATGAAAGTCCCAGGGATCTCTGGGGAATAATGTTCCAAAGAGTAGGCAGGATGCAGAGAATGCATGCTTCCTAGGTCTTGATAGATCAATTGAAAGGCCCCAAAACACACTGAGTCTGCCCTTTTCCCAGCAAGGCAAAGCTAATAAAAAACCTCTTTAAATTGTTACTAGATAGCAATTTAAACTATTAGAAATACTATTAAGAAATAGAAGTTACATGGAACTATTTAAAGTCAAGGCAAGATTTGAAAGACCAAGAAAAATATCTGCTGGAATTGCCCCCAAACTTGGCAGATTTGCAAAACAAAACTTACAGGCCACAGCAAATGACCTGCTTAAAAGATTAGATCATTATAGCATTGCTTATACATCAATAATCCTGGAGAATTCTCAGAAGAAAACCCTTTCTTCATCACACATTATTGCCTGATATCCATAAAGAAAACCTTAATCAGATTGTAACACTGAAATAAAATATTGAGACTCATTCAGCAAAAAATGAACTTATCCAGCACCAACTACACAAAATACATTTATGGGAAAAACTATGAAGCATAAAAAATACCATTTCAACTATTAAGTGGTGTATGTTTGTGCATGCAACAATACATAGCCAATATTGAGAGAGATTCAATGACATATCGATACATCCCAGAAGCTAATTTCCCACAATCAGTGAAAACTGATGCTGAAAAGATGTAGGATCGAAGTTTATCTCTAAACCACCATAAAATACTTACAGAAAAGGTTAAAATGGCATTCACAATCATAAGATGTTTGTATTATTGAAATCTGTGGAAGAAACCTCAAAAGTACAGTACATTGAAAGACACTGAAGAATATTCCTGAGCTAAACAAGTTCCATAATGAGCATTGTGGAAAAAATTCCAAAAGCAAAAACAAAAAAACCTTTTAGTTGGTTACAGAAAATATTTGGAAACTGGTATTTCTGCCAAATAAGGTGTTACAAAATACAGGTAGTCCTTGATTTATGACCATTCTTTTAACAACAGTTTGAAGTTACAAAAGCACTGAAAAAAGTGACTAATGGCGATTCCTTTCACTTACAATTTTTGCAAAGTCCCTGCAGTCACATTATCAAAATTGGGTGCTTGCCAACCAGCATACATTTACAATGGTTACAGTGTCCCAAGATTGCTATTTGTGACATTCTTTTTTGGTGGGGGGGGGGGGCAGACACTCCAACAAGCAAAGTCAGTGGGGGAAGCAGGTTCCACATTTTGGATTAAATGCTCAGAAAATATCTTCCCTGTCTCTTTCACTNAAGTTTTTAACATTTTCTAATGGTGGTGTGCCTCGTGATTTTTTTCATGAAAAAAGTGTGCCTTTGCACAAAAAAGGTTGAAAAACACTGATCTATATTACATAGGCACCAGGCTAGAAATCAGGAGAATGTGAATTCAAGTCCCACCTTAGCCAAGAAAGTCAACTGGGTGACTTTGGACCAATCACTCTCTCTCAAACCAAACCAAACCAAACTTGTTGTGGTAGGGAAAATAGGAGGAGGCAGGCGAGTTGGATATGTTGGCTGTCTGGAGTAATTTGTAAAAAGGTGGGAAGTAAATAAACAAATAAATAAATAAATGTGAAATGCTGTAATCTTGTTTTTCTGAAAGTACTATTTTGCTGAAGACAAAATGAAAAAATTAAGAGGATGTAATCACTCCTCTCTCCAAAAGGTCCCCCCCTTCTGTTTAACCAATAAACTGTTTAAATTAGGACACTAAGCAAGGGCACCCACAAAGACTCATCCCCAGTTCGGCTTTCCTAAAATAAATGCCCACCTCTTCTTTCCAATCTTGACCCCGTATTTTGCAGGACAGAAAGTTAGATTTGGAATTTTGTGATGTTCTTTTTGGGACAAAATGTAATTTCTTTTTAGGATTATAAATGGAATTGTAGTTATTTAACTTTATACGCCTCTTCATCTGAAAAGGAAGAAAGTGGTCAACCCCAATAAAAAGTAAAACCAAAATTGCAAGCACACCTTGATAATAACACAATCTAAAATAGATAAAATTATATATAATAAATCCATCAAATCTATTAGAGTACTATAATTCATAACCAGTAGTTCAAAGTCAAGCTATGATTCCAAAACTTACATTTCACTCTATCGCCAATGTCTGCACTTGGAACAATACAATTTATGGCTCTTTTATATATAGTCACAAACTGTGTCTTTCTTATCTTCTGCAGCTTTACAGTGCTGGGCAAATGTGCCAGAGGTGGTATTCAGCAGGTTCTGACCAATTCTGGAGAACCAGTAGTAGAAAGTTTGAGTAGTTGTGAATCAGTAAATACCACCTCTGACTGGCCCTGCCCCCATCTATTCTCTGCCTCCCGAGTCCCAGCTGATCGGGAGGAAATGGGGATTTTGCAGTAACCTTCCCTTGGAGTGGGGAGGGAGGAAATGGGGATTTTGCAGTAATCTTCCCTTGGAGTGGGGAGGGAATGGAGATTTTAAAGAATCCTTCCACTGCTATGCCCACCAAGCCATGCTCACAGAACCAGTAGTAAAAACATTTGAATCCCCCCAAAATATGGAAGTGTCCCTATTTTTCACCCCGTTCTTCCTATATCCTATAGTCTAATATTTCTTTTAACTAGCTAAATAGAGGGACAAAAAACAAAAGAAATCCAGTTATTTCCTCTTCGTTGTTTCCTAGCAGCAATTTATTTTCATCTGTAAAAATAATAAATCCCCG